TCTTGGTTCGGTATATCCTAGAAAAAAAAACGAGTGTGGCATACCATTCTAAAGACAAGCATGTACTGTAATGTTGTATTTGGGCTAGAAAGTATGTCTTTGGCTAAACATCCAGAACCATGTAGCGAAACCCATTCAGAAAATCTGCTGGGAATTCTGAGCGGAAGGGCATACCGCAAGAGCATACAAGACATGTAATCACCAGCAGAATGGACTTAAATGTGGAAACTTAGTTTCTTTCTGCATACTGCAGTACGTGTTGACACAATAAGGTTAATAAAGGGCTTTGTTATATGGTAAATCAGTCATGGAGAGCATCGCTATGGTAAATGTGATAGCAATTTGTTTGATGAATTAAACGATTAATGGATAAAGTGGTATTTACATTTGTTCGAAAATTTATCCAAGTTAATTTTGAGCTTTGAGTTTAAGTACGCGTAAATATTTATGTATCAACAGGATAAGTCTGGATATGACAGAGCTATTGAGGTCCCATGTGTAATATAACACAGATATTCTACATCAATAAAGAAACATCGCGTTCGAACATTTTTGACAAATTTGATAAAAAAAAAAGGAGGTGGGGGGGGGGGGGGGGGGGGGGGGGTCGTGATGAACCTCGCATAAATGTTTGCATCGGATACAACCAGGGCAAACATTGTCACGACCGGTCAAGGTCATGGTTACCAAAATACTTACATCAGCTTAAAGAAGGTCATCAAATGGCCAACACAAAAGAACCCAGAGGGATCTTGACAACAGTCATTGTTTGATCTTTATTTATATTTAAAAGTTTCTCTTCTTCATCTGTTTTTTATTTGAATTTTATGAAATTTAAGAATTCCTAAAAAAAAAATAGCGATGCATTTCTTTGTCTAACACGTCTAAGATGGTCTCTTGTCAGCCAGTTCCGTTTTTCTAATCAGACGCATAATTAAAGGGACACAACTAGGGACCAAGAGGAATCTACATCGGAATTTTGAGAAAAATCCCTTCAATGCTTCTGATGAAATAGCGATAATTTTCCTAGTCAAAATTCAAAATGGCCGCCTGTCGGAAGGACGACGGACCACGCAAGTAGGGCGCTTTGAGTTTAAACAGGATGCATTTTGAAAGTTCTATTGATATAACAACTCAACACTCGTGGATGAGGACAATACACTAAGAAAAGAACAATGAAGACCCGCAAACACATCAGTTGACAAACTCTTGCCTACGTATTCACAATACACATTAAGTGTAGACATTGTAAGTAAAATATTGATTCATATCTATCATAATTCATTCATTATTCATGTCAACGCATGATTCAAGATGGTGCCTGCTTCCGTTGCTTATGAAGCTTGCTCCGTCACCAGACACAGAACAACGCAAAATCAGAGTGCACCAACAACAGCTGAGTGTGACTGGGTCCGTTTGTGACGCTAATATGTATCGCTAAACATTATGTAAATTTTGATACCAAATTGTTGTAACTTGTCCAGGTAAATGTTAACTTGACTCTGTGCCAATTCCGGTGAAAGAAATTGATTACAGTTTTTAAACCAGAATCGATATAAATATAGGGTACCCCGGTCGAACCGTTTATGATATCGGCACTTCAGACAGTGCTCTCTATTACGCTTTCATGTATCTGTGCTGTCATCACGCTATACTACGCAGTACCAATCAACGCATGCAATCTTATGTGTTATTGATGGAATCTTCAAAGTGGCCAGCTGTCGAATTTCGAACTAAAATGCAGGATGTTATGACAACGATGTTCGATTTTTTTTATTATTTACCTCAGAAAAAAAAATAGGCATTAAAACCTAGGACGTATTGTATGATTTGTTTAGCTAATTGAGGGAGGGCGCCACAAACACGCACATTTTCAGAGACATATTAAAAACATACCACTGCACGTGATTAAGTTGATAATCATATATAAATACAAAAAAAAATTAATATAGATATCGTCAGTAACCAATAGACTGTTTAAATGTTGATAGAGCTCTTTACGTCCACGAGACAAGTTCGATAAATCTGATTATAAAGAACGCCGGAAATCATGTCGCCTTCCTGATATTTGCTTAAATTGAAGAAACAATAGAAACATTTCTTACGGAAACAGCTCCATTGTGAAGGCAGATACAAACATTCTTTACATACTGAAGTAAAAACATCTAACTTTTAAGATGGATCTAAAGCAGTTTAAGGCCCTAAAAGATCCTGCTTTTTCACTTTTGTCTCTAAATCGGTTTCATCTCAATGTTATGGCAACCTGCACGAAGGAAATCTTTAATAATATTCAGGACTCACTGTGGACCATTAAACTTTAATGATATTCAGGACTCACTGTGGACCATTAAACTTTAATAATATTCAGGACTCACTGTGGACCATTAAACTTTAATGATATTCAGCACTCACTGTGGACCATTAAACTTTAATGATATTCAGGACTCACTGTGGACCATTAAACTTTAATAATATTCAGGACTCACTGTGGACCATTAAACTTTAATGATATTCAGCACTCACTGTGGACCATTAAACTTTAATGATATTCAGGACTCACTGTGGACCATTAAACTTTAATAATATTCAGGACTCACTGTGGACCATTAAACTTAAATAATATTCAGGACTCACTGTGGACCATTAAACTTAAATGATATTCAGGACTCACTGTGGACCATTAAACTTAAATAATATTCAGGACTCACTGTGGACCATTTACCTTTAATGATATTCAGGACTCACTGTGGACCATTTAACTTTCATAATATTCAGGACTCACTGTGGACCATTAAACAATATTCAGGACTCACTTTGGACCATTAAACAATATTCAGGACTCAATGTGGAACAGTAAACTTTAACAATATTCAGGACTCACTTTGAACAATTTAACAATATTCAGAACTCACTGTGGACCATTATACAATATTCAGGACTCACTTTGGAACATTAAACCATATCCAGGACTCAATGTGGACCATTAAACTTAAATAATATTCAGAACTCACTGTGGACCATTAAACAATATTCAGGACTCACTGTGGACCATTAAACAATATTCAGGACTCACTTTGGAACATTAAACCATATCCAGGACTCAATGTGGACCATTAACCTTTAATAATATTCAGGACTCACTTTTGACCATTAAACAATATTCAGGACTCACTGTGGACCATTAAACTTTGATTGTATTAAGGAGAGACACTATGGACCATTAAACTTTGTATTAAGGAGAGACACTATGGACCATTAACCTTTGTTTTTATTAAGGAGAGACACTAGGGACCATTAAACTTTGTATTAAGGAGAGACAATATGGACCATTAAACTTTGTTTGTAAACTTTGTATTAAGGAGGAGAGACAGAGACTATGGACCATTAAACTTTGTATTAAGGAGAGACAATATGGACCATTAAACTTTGTATTAAGGAGAGACACTATGGACCATTAAACTTTGTATTAAGGAGAGACACTATGGACTATTAAACTTTGATTGTATTAAGGAGAGACACTATGGACCATTAAACTTTGTATAAAGGAGGAGATACTGTGGACCATTAAACTTTGTTTGTATTAAGGAGAGACATTATTGACCATTAAACTTTGTATTAAGGAGAGACACTATGGACCATTAAACTTTGTTTGTATTAAGGAAAGACACTATGGACCATTAAGGAAAGACACTATGGACCATTAAACTTTGTTTGTATTAAGGAGAGACACTATGGACCATTAAACTTTGTTTGTATTAAGGAGAGACACTATGGACCATTAAACTTTGTTTGTATTAAGGAGAGACACTATGTACCATTAAACTTTGTATTAAGGAGAGACACTATGGACCATTAAACTTTGTTTGTATTAAGGAGAGACACTATGGACCATTAAACTTTGTTTGTATTAAGGAGAGACACTATGGACCATTAAACTTTGTTTGTATTAAGGAGAGACACTATGGACCATTAAACTTTATTTGTATTAAGGAGGAGACACTATGGACCATTAAACTTTATTTGTATTAAGGAGAGACACTATGGACCATTAAACATTTAAACACTATTGATATTAAACTTTGTTTGTATTAAGGAAAGACACTATGGACCATTAAACTTTGTATAAAGGAGGAGATACTATGGACCATTAAACTTTGTTTGTATTAAGGAGAGACACTATGGACCATTAAACTTTGTTTGTATTAAGGAGAGACACTATGGACCATTAAACTTTGTTTGTATTAAGGAGAGACACTATGGACCATTAAACTTTGTTTGTATTACTTTGTTTGTATTAAGGAGAGACACTATGGACCATTAAACTTTGTTTGTATTAAGGAGAGACACTATGGACCATTAAACTTTGTTTGTATTAAGGAGAGACACTATGGACCATTAAACTTTGATTGTATTAAGGAAAGACACTATGGACCATTAAACTTTGTATAAAGGAGGAGATACTATGGACCATTAAACTTTGTTTGTATTAAGGAGAGACACTATGGACCATTAAACTTTGTATTAAGGAGAGACACTATGGACCATTAAACTTTGTTTGTATTAAGGAGAGACACTATGGACCATTAAACTTTGTATTAAGGAGAGACACTATGGACCATTAAACTTTGTATTAAGGAGAGACACTATGGACCATTAAACTTTGTTTGTATTAAGGAGAGACACTATGGACCATTAAACTTTGTATTAAGGAGAGACACTATGGACCATTAAACTTTGTTTGTATTAAGGAGAGACACTATGGACCATTAAACTTTGTTTGTATTAAGGAGAGACACTATGTACCATTAAACTTTGTTTGTATTAAGGAGAGACACTATGGACCATCACTACGTATAACTGAGATGGTAGTACAGAGACTTCACTACGGTCCATCTGATCATGTTCTTCGTGCTAGACATCTTATATCTGACATTTACATTAAAGATAATTATAGAATTGCATACATGCTATATATCACAAACTACAATATCTGATTAACGTTACACAAGCGAGTCTGTATCACTACTGTTAATCCCTACGTATTTCGTAGCATCGCCTCCAACTCCCCCTCTTTCTTTTGAAAAACCTGGTTTCTTTCTATACATAGACATGTACGAATTTACTTTAGTATCTCCTAGTCTGTAATAAGGGGGCGGGGCATCCTCCGGGGGTGAGTCCGTGCCCCGGGAGGATGACGTCGAGGCACTCGTATATCTGGACTCTAAGGGTGTCACGGTTGATCCCTTAAAACTTCCATGCTGTTTGAGTAAGTTCGTTTTCTTCTTGTGAATAGATATATATGAGGAGTCTGTCTGATACGGCACTACAGAAATAACTGGGGAACTGCTCTGTCGTTTCGGTGCTGGCTTTTTTTCTACGCTTCTCTCTGATTTGGTTTTCTGAAGACTCACTTCCGGTTCGGATGCGGTATCTTCGCGTCTCTGTTCTTCTGTCGCAATCTTAAGCATTTGATGTAGAGTTCGTGGTTCGGTATTATTGTTCAAGACTTCTCTTAAGTCGCGTGCAGATTTTAACCAACTCAGATATCTCGACCCTACGTTATGATGTTTTTTCTTCGGTTTCTTTTGGGTGGGTTTGTCCCACATTGAGGTACCAGTATCACAGGTAGTAACCGCCATATCAGATGATGAAACCGTGCTGATATGTATATCGTCTGTTTGAACAGCAATTTCGGAGGTCTGTACATGCTTAACTTCCACAGTCATGTCATTTAATCTTTGAATATCGTTAGAATCTGCATTAACGTAAATCACTTTGTCGTTGACTTCACGATCTCCTTGTGAAATAACCCCGGAATCCATGTCTAATTCCGAGAACGCACTATCTTTTGTAGCGTCTCTGAAGTACGAAATGCCTGCGTCTGATGACGTCGACCTGGTATCGAACTCCTTCCGTTTTGTTCGCTTAGGGTCAGGCAAACTCCTAGTGCTTGTAGGACGCGATCGTCTAACAAAAACTTTCCGCCATTCTCTGTTTTGGGGCACGGGTGTTTCCGGAGGTAAACCGAACACCTTTTGTTTGATGGCCTTAAGGGGCTCTACTCTTTCAACGTAGTCCTGACATTTGTGTACACAGTAAATACATATACATCCTCCATAAACAAAGATAATAAGTGGCAGAACAATAAACATGGCCACTTTGTTGGGATCATCAAGAAAACCCGTGGATCCAGCAGCCGTGTCGTTTGTCGAACGCTTAGTCCTCACGTGATCGGGAAAGATTTCCACATTTTCGCCTACATTATACACAACATTGAAGTTTTCAGAAACGTGACCTACATTCACATTTTTTAAAGTTGTTGTAACATGGGTATTTACCGTATTTTCACTGTTCGGATGGATTCCGCCATTGTAATGTGCTGTTGTGCCTGTCAGTCTCGCTTGGTCGTTTGATTGCCTAACGGGTATTTGTCTCGGAAACATTTTTTTATTAACAAGCATTGTTGATTTTGCCCTTTTATAGGAATTTTTCGGTCGATTGATGTTCACTTGTATATCAACACCACCAGTTGATAGCATTCGGTCCTCATCATGTCCTCCAATTGACGTTGAAAGTGAACGTCCGGACTTCAGTGCTGGAAAACCTATAACGTATAAAGTACACATCAAACACAAAAATGACGACGTGCTCTAATCAAACAACCACATTGATATGGTATGATCACCTCTATACGAATAGGTTTCGTCTCTTCTAAATCTGGTTCTGTTTTTATTTCAGTTATTTTAAAATACCCTACAGATCGATAACCAATGACAGGTCATTTGAAAATGTGTTTATAGAAATACAGCGTACTGGAGACTGTGCTTATTTATATGATATTCTTTGTATCAACAAAGATATCACAGATTTGAAATATGTGACTGCTACCTCGGCGAATCCATTTTCTTTGATTTTGAGACCCAAGAACTGAACATTTCAGTTTTTTTGTTTTTGTTTTTCCCTTTTCGGAAGTATTACTAAGTAATATGCATAGCGACCCTTTTATTTGAATATACATAAGCATTTTCTATCAAAGCTTCAGAACATTGCCATATGTAGGATCTAAGCAATTTTTCAATATTTAAATTTTTTGGTTGCTATGGAGATTCGCGGTTTTCAAATTGAAAAGGAGCATTTTGTGATGCGTTTTTATGCTTATTATCCAAGTGTCATTCTTTTCCATTTTTATGAAATTTGCTGGCATGAACGATCGCCTCAATGATGACCACGACTACATGTTACTGTTGGATATGCTGCGATCAGTTCCAGCAAAACATCCTTTCAAGACATAATTATCACGCGGTTTGCTGGTTTTGTTGGGGTTTTAACCGTTTCAGTTTCCATACACAATACCATTAAGGACACGCTGAGCTCGCTATGATCAAACACAGACTGGGAAGTATAACGTTGAAGCGAATTTGAGAAATAAGTCATTTAAAAAGATTTCTAATTACGTACCAAAGTAAGATTTGCATTTCCAATCAACTTCGTATTTGCTATTTTTACAACAAAGATCTATACTAAATATGAACCATGAATGCTTCTGTAGTATGGAGACCTCTGTGATTTAACAATTAATTTGAACATTTGTCTTTGTTATTGAACAAGAACATGAAACGATGGAGTGTACACATAATAGAGTATACCCTGTGTTTCGTGTTATGGATTTATAACATATAAACTATTCATGACATTGCTTGGAAAATTTCTTAGATCGTCTCATTGTCCAATTAAACGTGCCGTTACAAAGTTACGTTTATCGCTTTAGTCAGTCTGGGATGATAACATAAAAAGTGACCAATGAAAAGGTTTGTGCCATAGTATACCAAATCGTCAATATCGTTGCTGAGAGCAAGAAAAATGGAAAATACAAACAAATGGGAAAAAATAAAAAGTCGTAACTTGTTTAATATAAATTTAAAATTCGAAAGCACGATGTTCATATGTACATGTTTGGTGTACAATATAGCTAACATACATGTGTTGTTACCTTTGATTAGGAATGTGTAACGTATGAGATAGACACATGAATATATATATTTAGGAAGGGAAACGCCTTTAGTTTTTCTCTCTTTTTCTCCTTTTAAACATTGTTGAGACCGTATATTTCATATTTCTAAAAAAATTTTTTAACTGTTTTATTTTCAAGATGTTAGGACATATAAACATATACAGTATTCATATATACACACTCACACCATTATATATCCTCCATACTCACACTCACACACCCCCACACACTTACACCATTATATATCCTCCATACTCACACACTCATACTCACACACCCCCACACACTTACACCATTATATATCCTCCATACTCACACACTCATACTCACACTCACACCATTATATATCCTCCATACTCACACACACCCCCACACACTTACACCATTATATATCATCCATACTCACACTCACACTCACACACTCACACCATTATATATCATCCATACTCACACACTCACACACTCACACACTCATACTCACACTCACACCATTATGTATCCTCCATACTCACACTCACACACCCCCACACACTTACACCATTATATATCCTCCATACTCACACTCACACACTCACACACTCACACCATTATATATCATCCATACTCACACACTCACACACTCACACTCACACACTCACACACTCACAACATTATATATCATCCATACTCACACACTCACACACTCACACCATTATATATCAACCATACTCACACACTTACACACTCACACCATTATATATCATCCATACTCACACACTCACACAATACACCATTATATATCCTCCATACTCTCATACTCACACACTTACACACTCACACCATTATATATCATCCATACTCACACACTCACACAATACACCATTATATATCATCCATACTCACACACTCACACACTCACACTCACACACTCACACACTCACAACATTATATATCATCCATACTCACACACTCACACACTCACACCATTATATATCATCCATACTCACACACTTACACACTCACAACATTATATATCATCCATACTCACACACTCACACACTCACACCATTATATATCATCCATACTCACACACTTACACACTCACACCATTATATATCATCCATACTCACACACTCACACACTCACACCATTATATATCATCCATACTCACACACTCACACATTACACCATTATATATCATCCATACTCACACACTCATACTCACACTCACACACTCACTCTCACACTCACACACTCACACACTCACACCATTATATATCATCCATACTCACACTCACACACCCCCACACACTTACACCATTATATATCATCCATACTCACACACTCACACAATTATATATCATCCATACTCACACACTTACACACTCACACACTCACACACTCACACCATTATATATCATCCATACTCACACTCACACACCCCCACACACTTACACCATTATATATCATCCATACTCACACACTCACACCATTATATATCATCCATACTCACACACTTACACACTCACACCATTACATATCATCCATACTCACACTCACACACCCCCACACACTTACACCATTATAAATCATCCATACTCACACTCACACTCACACACTCACACCATTATATATCCTCCATACTCACACACTCATACTCACACTCACACCATTATGTATCCTCCATACTCACACTCACACACCCCCACACACTTACACCATTATATATCCTCCATACTCACACTCACACACTCACACCATTATATATCATCCATACTCACACACTCACACTCACACACTCACAACATTATATATCATCCATACTCACACACTCACACACTCACACCATTATATATCATCCATACTCACACACTCACACACTTACACCATTATATATCCTCCATACTCTCATACTCACACTCACATACTCACACTCACACACTCACACCATTATATATCATCCATACTCACACACTCACACAATACACCATTATATATCATCCATACTCACACACTTACACACTCACACACTCACACTCACACACTCACACCATTATATATCATCCATACTCACACACTTACACACTCACACACTCACACCATTATATATCATCCATACTCACACTCACACACCCCCACACACTTACACCATTATAAATCATCCATACTCACACACTCACACCATTATATATCATCCATACTCACACACTTACACACTCACACACACCATTATATATCATCCATACTCACACTCACACACCCCCACACACTTACACCATTATATATCATCCATACTCACACACTCACACAATTATATATCATCCATACTCACACACTTACACACTCACACACTCACACCATTATATATCATCCATACTCACACTCACACACCCCCACACACTTACACCATTATATATCCTCCATACTCACACACTCATACTCACACCATTATATATCATCCATACTCACACAGTCGCACTCACTCTCACACGCTCACACCATTATATATCATCCATTCTCACACTCACACACCCCCACACACTTACACCATTATATATCCTCCATACTCACACACTCATACTCACACCATTATATATCATCCATACTCACACACTTACACTCACACTTTCTCATTTTTTTTTCTTTGCATTATCTTCATCCCCATCATCCTCATAAGCATTCATCATATTTATCATCATGGTATCATATCATTTTTTCTAAACTATATCGAGTTGTCAAATGTACAGAAACAACCTACATTGTAGCGTCTCTGTGATCAGATTAAATCGATACTGAGGTCACAAAAAGATGCAAACATATTCTGTTATTTTACAGTGTGTAACCATTGTTTCGCTGAAGAAAAAAATGTCGATAATTTGTAAACTTATAACCGGAACATTAGGGGTGTCTGATGTGTGAGGATAATTCTTGTGTATACACTACAGTCATTGCCCGTGTTCCACCTCATCATGTTATTGTCTGATATTTACGACTACCTATATACAATTCATGATTCCCCTAACATCGCTATCAGAATGCTATCAACTATAATTAACGTCTCCATTGACTCTGTTCTAATAGAGTATATACAACAATAACTGGCATACTGGGTCTTTACATTAACTCTCATTGATACAACACACACCAAACCGTTCATGGTGTACTGTATACAACACACAACAAACCGTTCATGGTGTACTGTATACAACACACAACAAACCGTTCATGGTGTACTGTATACAACACACAACAAACCGTTCATGGTGTACTGTATACAACACACAACAAACCGTTCATGGTGTACTGTATACAACACACAACAAACCGTTCATGGTGTACTGTATACAACACACAACAAACCGTTCATGGTGTACTGTATACAACACACAACAAACCGTTCATGGTGTACTGTATACAACAGACAACAAACCGGTCATGGTGTACTGTAAACAA